ATCACTCTATCCTCACTCTATCCCTCACTCACTCACTCACTCACTCACTCACTCACTCACTCACTCACTCACTCACTCACTCACTCACTCACTCACTCACTCACTCACTCACTCACTCTATCCCTCTATCCCTCTATCCCTCACTCACTCACTCACTCACTCACTCACTCACTCACTCACTCACTCACTCACTCACTCACTCACTCACTCACTCACTCACTCACTCACTCACTCACTCACTCACTCACTCACTCACTCACTCACTCACTCTCGCTTTCGCTGACTGTAGGTCTCAACCTGTGAGCAGGTCTCAGCATCAGCTTCATCTGCTCATGAGTGAAGGCAACGGGCCAACCGAGGGGCAGGACAAGGTGCAGAGTTCGGCTCCTCCGAATGCCGTGTGGCCGCTGAGAGACAAGGAGGGGAATGTGACAGTGCCGTTCGCCTATGGCACCATCGCCTTCTGGCAAGGCAAGCGAGCCCAAGAGTATCAGACGCACAAATGGTGAGAGGAGAAAGCAGGAGGAGGAGGAGGAGGAGGAGGAGGAGGAGGAGGAGGAGGAGGAGGAGGAGGAGGAGGAGGAGGAGGAGGAGGAGGAGGAGGAGGAGGCAGCTTCCTGTGATGCCCTTGCAGGCATGTCTATGTCCGCGGAGCGAACAACGAGGACCTGACGCCGCTCATTGAGCGTGTGATCTTTCAGCTGCATCCCTCCTTCAACAACCCCACCCGAGTTATCGACACAGCCCCGTTTCACGTCTCATGCCAGTAGTGAAAGCCTGAGCTGACGAGCGGGGGTCAGGTCTGCGAGCTGGGATGGGGAGAGTTTGAGATCACGATTCGCATCTTCTTTCATGATGGTGAAGCTCGTGCCAGCTTCTCCCTTCCCTCACCCGCTTGTTATCGCAGGGCCCGAGCAAGGGCTGGAGATCAAGCACATGCTCAAGCTCTTCCCCCGCGTCGGTGCGCGTCTGCACTCGCTAGCTCAGGTCTAACGGGAGAGGACCAGGAGAGCCCTCGCAGAAGAAGCCGGTCGTCTCCGAGCGACACGATGAGTTCGTCTTCAACGCTCCCAATGAGGTTCCCGATGCCTCGCGCGGTCCCTCCTCAGGCTCTCGCAGGGTCTCCTTCAGAGGATCGGCATGTGCAACACCCGCATGCCCAACGGTGACGCGCCTGACCCGCAGCACCAGCCTGACCCCTCGCACAGGAGGGCCCGCGTGGGCCACCATCGAGCCGTTCTTCTCGCCTCTAAACGAGCATGGTGAGGCCGGGTTGTGACGAGAGAGAAGTGAGCTAACTGAGCTGCTGGTAGAGGAGCTGCTGAGGATTCAAGCGGCACAACGACGAGTGCAGGTGAGAATGAAGACTCCGACTTGGCCATGCTCATCACAAACAGGCGGAAATTACTTTGGTGAAGGAGGAGCTTGAAAACGAGGAGCAGATCTTGTCCTTCTTGCAGGTGCGATCATGCACACCTGACCCATACCGACATGCCGAAATGCGCAGGACGAAGTGAAGAAACTTGAGCCTTCCATCGTCAAGAAGCCGCCAGGAACATGAGGCACTTTTGTACTCTGAAGACGAAGGGGGGGGGGGAGAGGGAAAAAGCGAAGCGAGGAGATGAAGAGGAGATGAAAGTTTACAGCAAAGATCAAGTACTTCAACAAGAGCAAGACTCGGTTTCAATCACTTCCTATGACTGAAAGCTTCAAGGGTCTTCCACATCTCCCTGTCCTGATCTTTCCCATAACCTGCAACCCTTTACCTTCACTTGTTCTCAATCAAGCTCTCACCGTGTCTCATCGTGTACTGATAGAGCTGCTTCGCCTGCTTCATCCCCTCTCGCATCGCAGCCTCACGCTTCGCTTCCTGCTTCTTCTCATACGCTACTTGTCCGGCTGCCGACTGTACCTGCAGCTACAGCAGCGTCAGGATCTAGGCCAGCAGGTCAGGGCTAGGAGGTAGGGCTGACCTGCTTCAAGTATTTGCTTGCGGACAGATAGGAGGAGGATCCCGGCACGAGGGTGTGCTGAAGTCGCTGCTCCATTGAAAGGCTGCTGAGAGTGTGCGAGCGTCACTTGAGAGGCGTGATAAGCCTGTCCTCACCGAGCTCGCCAGTGACCCACCAAGCCAAAGCTCGCGATGAGCAGAGCTGAGAGAATGAGGAACGAACCAGCCGTGAGCTCCTTCCTGCGAATACTACATGTCAAGCTCAAAGAGTAAAACAGAGACGAGGAGGGAAGTGCCGTGAAGACAGATAAGGAAGAGAAGGAAGAGAAGGAAGGGAAGAGAAAGAGAAGGAAGAGACAAGAAGGAAGATGGCTGAGCTTCAGGAGTAAGAGCGCGTACAGGAGCAGCAAGAGGAAGGAGCACAAGCAAAGAGCAGCTGCAGGGCATCACCAAGAGCGAACCCACTCTCTCACCTCATCGCCATGTTATCCTTGACCTTTGAAGGACTCTGAGGCAGGCCCACCTTTTAGGACCTGCCAACTTCCCGGGAGAGGATGTCCCGGGCCGACGGTCCGAGCGAAGCCTCCGGAACCGTTGTGGCGGGCCGGCCCGGGCCCAGTGCCGCCGGAGTGACCCGGCCCCCCTCTGGACCTCCCAGTCATCCCCTCCTGGCATCAACACCCTGATCTCTCGCAGCTGAAGAAGAGCCTTAAGCGCCGTCTCAAGACTCAACTTCTTCACTTCGAGGTCGTCACTGGCGGGATTACACTTGGCGGCCTGCCTATCGGCACGGATGGATTTCATGCTAGTCAGCTCCGAGCGAAGGTCTCTACCCTCAACGAAGAGCTCTCAAAGCTCGGGCTCGTCCAGCATGGCTTCATGTTCAAGACGCTGGTGAGGGCGAGCCATCTCCAGAAGCTGCGCTTCTTCCTCCAGGGGTCATCTCCGTTTCTCCCGCGGGTCCAATCACAGATTCGTCGCTTTGACCTCTCTGTCCACCTGGCGCTTGAGAAATACCACCGCTGGCCTTCCTCGCAGTACCTCGCCGCGCATCCCGACCTGCTAGAGTTTGCGAGGTTCAAGCGGGAGCTTCCGCATAGTCGGGGAGGGGACGAGTTCACGCCCTCTGAGGGTCTACACCCCGCTGTTTACTATACGGCTATCGCTCGCTTCCTCGCTTGGTACTCTGACCAGCCGATGTCCCGGACCTTGCCCTCTCCTCATAGCCTGGACGTTCACTGCTCGAGATCTCTCCGTGCCCAGAAGCATCCTCTGGCGACCTTCTTCGTTGAGGCGCACGACTTCGTTCATAATGCTGGAGCGATCCTCTACCGTCGTGTGAAGGCTCCTGCACCGGCTGCAGATGGCGCGGCGATCCCATCTGCCCCGGCTGCTGTGCCTGATGACGCAGGACGCCCGGGCCCCCCGGCATCTGTGGTACACATCCCTGGTTTGCGCGCTCTCGTCGACTCGTCTCATGAGCACTTCATTCCTCCGCCTGCGCAGCGAAATGTGACCCCTCTTGTCATGCGCGTCTTCCCTCGCCATGTGCATGCTCGCGCTGCGCTGACGGATCAGCAGCGTGATATCCTCACCTTGCACAGCCGCAGGACACACTCGCTCAAGTCGCAGGATAGGGTCTTGCAGTCTACCATCTTCGCTCATTTTCCTGAGCGAGACCTGAGCCACTCTCCGATGCGAGTCTCGAGCTACTACCCCCTCAAGGCCTTCCCGCACCGCTATGCTCAGATGCTCGACTGCTATCTCCATGGCATGCCGATCTGCCAGTGTCCGACGGAATGTGATGGATGTCAGCGCGAGCTTGACCCCTCCGTTGCTGCACATCATCTCCAGACCTGCAAACGCCGATCCTCCAAGCTTCCCACGGCGCATGACAACCTTACTCGTACGATTCGGTCGATGCTGAACGAAGCTGGTCTTCAGAGCGTCATCGATACAGTGGGGGATCCTCGTTCTCGACGGCAGGTACCCTCCCATCCTCATGGCCGCAAGATGAAGGGCGATATCCACATTCCTGGAATCCGCGATCGAGGGTCCGAGCAGTACGAGGGCTTGATGGCGGACGTGACGTTGGTCCACCCTTACATTGGTAGCTCTGCCGACCTGACCAAGTGGGGGGAGGTCAACCTCGACGCCCTCCATGTTGCAGCGTCTGAGAAGATTCGCAAACATCGCGCTGCATATTGAGGCACTTTTTACCTTCTGCCAGTAAATCCTATACAAGTAGGAGCCGGTGGGGCCCGGGGGTCCGCCCGGGGAGTCTTCGGTCGATAGATGAAGGGCGATATCCGCAGGCTGCCCTTTCTCCGTCCGCGGCCGCCCGCTTTGTGGCGGCAGCGGACGTCTCGACTGACAGTGGTCAGTTGGCTGCCTCCGGGTATCGCGTCTAAGGGATTTTATTCCTCCTGCATGCTCCTGCTGCTTGTTGCTTGATTGCCTGACCCTTAGGCTGCTTGTCTGCGCCGCTTCGCGCTTGGGCTCGCTGTGGACTGTGTGCCTGCCGGTTCAGCTTGTTCCTGCTTTGTTTTGCTTGAGGCACTTTTTACCTCCTGCCAGTAAATCCTTTACTGCTGCTGGCGGTGCCGCGTCTGGGTGCCAGCAGTGCTGGTTCTTTTCGGGCTTGTGTTTTGTGTGTGTTTGTGCAGCTTCTCGCTGTGCGCTGTGTGCCTGGCGGTTCAGCTTGTTCCTGCTTTGTTTTGCTTGAGGCACTTTTTACCTTCTGCCAGTAAATCCATTGTCATCCGCATCCCTGGTATCCGCGATCGAGGGTCCGAGCAGTACGAGGGCTTGATGGCGGACGTGACGTTGGTCCACCCTTACATTGGTTTAGGCCATTATCTGTCTGACCAAGTGGGGGGAGGTCAACCTCGACGCCCTCCATGTTGCAGCGTCTGAGAAGATTCGCAAACATCGCGCTGCATATGCCATGACTACTCCTCCTCGAGCGTTCATCCCTCTTGTTTGTGCAGCTTCTCGCTGTGGACTGTGTGCCTGCCGGTTCAGCTTGTTCCTGCTTTGTTTTGCTTGAGGCACTTTTTACCTTCTGCCAGTAAATCCTATACCTTCCTCCTGCATGCTCCTGCTGCTTGTTGCTTGATTGCCTGACCCTTCGGCTGCTTGTCGGCGCGGCTTCGCGCTTGGGCTGGCGCTGCCGCGTCTGGGTGCCAGCAGTGCTGGTTCTTTTCGGGCTTGTGTTTTGTGTGTGTTTGTGCAGCTTCTCGCTGTGGACTGTGTGCCTGCCGGTTCAGCTTGTTCCTGCTTTGTTTTGCTTGAGGCACTTTTTACCTTCTGCCAGTAAATCCTATACCTTCCTCCTGCATGCTCCTGCTGCTGATTGCCTGACCCTTCGGCTGCTTGTCGGCGCGGCTTCGCGCTTGGGCTGGCGCTGCCGCGTCTGGGTGCCAGCAGTGCTGGTTCTTTTCGGGCTTGTGTTTTGTGTGTGATTGTGCAGCTTCTCGCTGTGGACTGTGTGCCTGCCGGTTCAGCTTGTTCCTGCTTTGTTTTGCTTGAGGCACTTTTTACCTTCTGCCAGTAAATCCACTCTCCACATCCCTGGAATCCGCGATCGAGGGTCTGAGCAGTACGAGGGCTTGATGGCGGACGTGACGTTGGTCCACCCTTACATTGGTAGCTCTGCCGACCAGACCAAGTGGGGGGAGGTCAACCTCGACGCCCTCCATGTTGCAGCGTCTGAGAAGATTCGCAAACATTGCGCTGCATATGCTATGACTACTCCTCCTCGAGCGTAAGTTCATCCCTCTTGCCATCTCGACGGACGTTACCCTGCATCCTGACACCCTCCGCTTCATCTGGTATCTCGCGGACATCATTGCTCAGCGCTCGATGCCTCTTGAGGATGCGGCGTTTGGTCGGCACTTCGTGCCTGATGACGGCCCTGCTGCTGAGGTCCTGGCTCGCAAACGCGCCGCCACCTATCAGCGCCTCACTATGCAGCTGACGCTGGAGGCGCTCTTGTCTGGTGCGAGGCGCATGACGCCCTTGCGGGCGCAAGCACTTCTCGAGCCAGAGGACAGTTCCTCCTCGGACTTTGTCGAGTCGCCCGAGGGGGAGTCTTCGCCGGAGGTCTCCGACTCCGATGGGGGACACCCTTCGGATTTTCTTCCTCCTGCATGCTCCTGCTGCTTGTTGCTTGATTGCTTGACCCTTAGGCTGCTTGTCTGCGCGGCTTCGCGCTTGGGCTGGCGATGCCGCGTCTGGGTGCCAGCAGTGCTGGTTCTTTTCGGGCTTGTGTTTTGTGTGTGTTTGTGCAGCTTCTCGCTGTGGACTGTGTGCAAGAAGACCCTGGATTGGTTCGCGTGTCATGCTTGAGGCACTTTTTACCTTCTGCCAGTAAATCCTATACACCCTTCGAGTGGCCCCGACGATCGGCGCGGAGCTGGCGAAGCGTCTCCGTCCCTCACTGTGACGTCGGGTGCCTCCGGAGAGCTCGACACCACTGGGGTGCTTGCTGCTGGTCCGAGCTCGCCTGCTTCCTCCCCGGCATCGGTCGGGTCACGCCGGTCCTTGGGCATTGCCGCGGCGTCGCCGCCGTCACGGGCGGCTACCGCTGACTCGGCTACCGCTGACTCGGAGGCTAGCGAGGAGGACTACCTCGAGCGGGAGGTATAGGATTTACTGGCAGAAGGTAAAAAGGGCCTCAAGCAAAACAAAGCAGGAACAAGCTGAACCTCGAGCGCTACCGTGTTCCTGTGTCCAGTCTCCCTCCGTCCGCTGCCCCAGGCGGACCCCGGCGGCGGGCAGCGCCGGCTCCTTGTCGGCGGCTGCCCTTTCTCCGTCCGCGGCCGCCAGCTTTGTGCCGGCGCGGACGTCTCGACTGACAGTGGTCAGTTGGCTGCCTCCGGGTATCGCGTCTAAGGACTCGAGGATTTACTGGCATAAGGTAAAAAGTGCCTCAAGCAAAACGGAACAAGCTGAACCGGCAGGCACACAGTCCACAGCGAGAAGCTGCACAATCACACACAAAACACAAGCCCGAAAAGAACCAGCACTGCTGGCACCCAGACGCGGCATCGCCAGCCCAAGCGCGAAGCCGCGCCGACAAGCAGCCGAAGGGTCAGGCAATCAAGCAACAAGCAGCAGGAGCATGCAGGAGGAATAAAATCCCTTAGACGCGATACCCGGAGGCAGCCGACTGACCACTGTCAGTCGAGACGTCCGCTGCCGCCACAAAGCGGGCGGCCGCGGACGGAGAAAGGGCAGCCGCCGACAAGGAGCCGGCGTTGCCCGGGGGTCCGCCTGGGGCAGCGGAAGGAGGGAGGCTGGACACTGGAACACGGTACCGCTCGAGGTGGGTATAGGATTCGAGGTAGTCCTCCTCGCTAGCCTCCGAGTCAGCGGTAGCCGAGTCAGCGGTAGCCGCCCGTGACGGCGGCGACGCCGCAGCAATGCCCAAGGACCGGCGTGACCCGACCGATGCCGGGGAGGAAGCAGGCGAGCTCGGACCAGCAGCAAGCACCCCAGTGGTGTCGAGCTCTCCGGAGGCACCCGACGTCACAGTGAGGGACGGAGACGCCTCGCCAGCTCCGCGCCGATCGTCGGGGCCACTCGAAGGGTGTCCCCCATCGGAGTCGGAGACCTCCGGCGAAGACTCCCCCTCGGGCGACTCGACAAAGTCCGAGGAGGAGCTGTCCTCTGGCTCGAGAAGTGCTTGCGCCCGCAAGGGCGTCATGCGCCTCGCACCAGACAAGAGCGCCTCCAGCGTCAGCTGCATAGTGAGGCGCTGATAGGTGGCGGCGCGTTTGCGAGCCAGGACCTCAGCAGCAGGGCCGTCATCAGGCACGAAGTGCCGACCAAACGCCGCATCATGGCATGGACAAGAGGCATCGAGCGCTGAGCAATGATGTCCGCGAGATACCAGATGAAGCGGAGGGTGTCAGGATGCAGGGTACCGACCGTCGAGATGGCAAGAGGGATGAACGCTCGAGGAGGAGTAGTCATAGCATATGCAGCGCAATGTTTGCGAATCTTCTCAGACGCTGCAACATGGAGGGCGTCGAGGTTGACCTCCCCCCACTTGGTCTGGTCGGCAGAGCTACCAATGTAAGGGTGGACCAACGTCACGTCCGCCATCAAGCCCTCGTACTGCTCAGACCCTCGATCGCGGATTCCAGGGATGTGGAGAGTGGATTTACTGGCAGAAGGTAAAAAGTGCCTCAAGCAAAACAAAGCAGGAACAAGCTGAACCGGCAGGCACACAGTCCACAGCGAGAAGCTGCACAATCACACACAAAACACAAGCCCGAAAAGAACCAGCACTGCTGGCACCCAGACGCGGCAGCGCCAGCCCAAGCGCGAAGCCGCGCCGACAAGCAGCCGAAGGGTCAGGCAATCAGCAGCAGGAGCATGCAGGAGGAAGGTATAGGATTTACTGGCAGAAGGTAAAAGCTGCCTCAAGCTTAACAAAGCAGGAACAAGCTGAACCGGCAGGCACACAGTCCACAGCGAGAAGCTGCACAAACACACACAAAACACAAGCCCGAAAAGAACCAGCACTGCTGGCACCCAGACGCGGCAGCGCCAGCCCAAGCGCGAAGCCGCGCCGACAAGCAGCCGAAGGGTCAGGCAATCAAGCAACAAGCAGCAGGAGCATGCAGGAGGAAGGTATAGGATTTACTGGCAGAAGGTAAAAAGTGCCTCAAGCAAAACAAAGCAGGAACAAGCTGAACCGGCAGGCACACAGTCCACAGCGAGAAGCTGCACAATCACACACAAAACACAAGCCCGAAAAGAACCAGCACTGCTGGCACCCAGACGCGGCAGCGCCAGCCCAAGCGCGAAGCCGCGCCGACAAGCAGCCGAAGGGTCAGGCAATCAAGCAACAAGCAGCAGGAGCATGCAGGAGGAAGGTATAGGATTTACTGGCAGAAGGTAAAAAGTGCCTCAAGCAAAACAAAGCAGGAACAAGCTGAACCGCCAGGCACACAGTCCACAGCGAGAAGCTGCACAAACACACACAAAACACAAGCCCGAAAAGAACCAGCACTGCTGGCACCCAGACGCGGCAGCGCCAGCCCAAGCGCGAAGCCGCGCAGACAAGCAGCCTAAGGGTCAGGCAATCAAGCAACAAGCAGCAGGAGCATGCAGGAGGAATAAAATCCCTTAGACGCGATACCCGGAGGCAGCCGACTGACCACTGTCAGTCGAGACGTCCGCTGCCGCCACAAAGCGGGCGGCCGCGGACGGAGAAAGGGCAGCCGCCGACAAGGAGCCGGCGCTGCAAGGAATAAAATCCCTTAGACGCGATACCCGGAGGCAGCCGACTGACCACTGTCAGTCGAGACGTCCGCTGCCGCCACAAAGCGGGCGGCCGCGGACGGAGAAAGGGCAGCCGCCGACAAGGAGCCGGCGCTGCAAGGAATAAAATCCCTTAGACGCGATACCCGGAGGCAGCCGACTGACCACTGTCAGTCGAGACGTCCGCTGCCGCCACAAAGCGGGCGGCCGCGGACGGAGAAAGGGCAGCCGCCGACAAGGAGCCGGCGTTGCCCGGCCTCCGAGTCAGCGGTAGCCGAGTCAGCGGTAGCCGCCCGTGACGGCGGCGACGCCGCGGCAATGCCCAAGGACCGGCGTGACCCGACCGATGCCGGGAGGAAGC